AAAATTTGTCAAATGAAGAAATGACCAAAATAAAAGTTGCAGATATTCATGAGTTGAACAACTTTGGTATTCATCACTTTTTATGTTGAAATCAATTTGGGTCTCAAATTTTGGTTCGAACTTGTCGTTTTTCAAAATTTTAAATTTAAAAGGTTCAAATTTTGTCAAATGATAAGATGACTAAAATAAAAGTTGTAGATATTAATGAGTTGAACAACTTTGATATTCATCACTTTTTATGTTGAAATTATTTTGGGTTTCAAATTTTGGTTCGAACTTATTATTTTTTAAAATTTCAAATTTTAAAGGTTCAAATTTAGTCAAATGACAAGATGACCAAAATAAAAGTTGTAGATCTTGATGAGTTGAACAACTTTTATGTTTATCAAATTTTCATTTGAGATCATTTGGTATCTCAAAATTATTTTAGTAGTTTTGATTTTAATTTTTTAAAATTTAAATTTTTTCCCATTGTTAAAGGTTCAATTTTGCAATTTTAAACTGTTGTAGTTATTTAGTTATTGTATATGTAAATATATCTATAAAAATAATTATAAAATTTTGTATTGTATTATTTATTATTTACATGTGAATAATTCATTTTGATTTAGAATTTTGGAAAAAAAAAAATCAAGCTGTGTGTGGGACGCTCGCTCCAATCTCACCGTCCCCACGCATGCAGCTGCTCGGCAATCACGCCGCCGTCGCCTGTCTTGTACTCCTTTCGCCCCACCCCACCTCTACCTCCGCCTCTGCGCCGCCGCCCACGCCATCAAGCGTGCTGCTATAGCCACCACCACGCCCTAAACGGCCCGAGCGCTCAGATCCGGCCACCGCCCCTCCGCTCCCACTCTCTCTCCCCTTCGCCGCCGTCGCCACCTCCCCTCTTCCTCCTCTGCTGCCACCGCGCCTCCCCCTCCCCACAACCACGACGGCACCACAGAGGCGAGATGTGGTGAGGAGGCGGGCATCTGGAGGAGGCTCCTCCCCTTGTCGGAGTTGGACCAAGGTTGGGATGGCAAGGGAAGCAGACCAAAGGTGATTTCGCGCAAGCAACTTCACCCACCCCACTCACCAACCCTAACCCGAGACGAGCAAAGGCGGCCGCCAAGGCCCCCGAAGGTCCGGAGCTTGCGTCGAGGAGGAGGATCGTCGGATCCTATCAGTCGATCCTGGAGCCGCACTAGTGCCTCTCCGCTTCCGCGCGCAAGGGTGGTCACTCTTCCATTGACGAGGTCTCAAGCCGATCCAAGCGGTCAACCGCTAGAGCGAAGATGAACTCGGCGAATGGTTCGTAACCACCCAGATCCATGCAATTTGATCAATCCGCACCATCTCCATTATCTCCAATGTGACCACTGATGTATTGATTACTGAATTCCCCTGCCACTAATCCCTAAGTTTGCATTCAGTGGCTTCCGCATAGGCAAAGGCTCATGTTAGTTTTATCTGCTTTTATCTGCAACTGTGTTGACTTTATTTTTTTACATAACAGTGATTAATGTTTTATGTCCATTGAATTTGGGGCCTTATACAAGTCTATTAATGCCTGAATGTTCTAAACCTGCAAATCTGTGACAGAGGTAGAGCTTACCAGTAGGCTGTTCTATAGGAGAGCACAGCTAGAAGATGAACTCCACTCATTCTGCAAGGTATGTTGCTTTGCAGCAAACAGTAACAGTACTTTTGAAATGTAGATTGTAACAGTAAATAGATAACTAAGATCTGTTATGGGTAGGTGACCGTTCCCACATCTTTTACTGATCACTTGTATAGACTTTCTGCATGGCTTGAGTTAAGAATATTCTTTTTCATGTGAACACATTCTCGAGACGTATAGCATCTGTTTTTTTACTGATCACTTATATGGACTTTCTGTTATGTGTAGGTAACTGTTCTCACCTGTTCTTTGTATTTCTTTTTGTTTAGCTGAGTGAGCACTAGTTCTCAAGTCAAAAATAAAACTACACACATAATTTGAGTTATGTGTCCTACCTTTTCTTTGCTTGCAGGTTTCAACAGTTCAGAGCAGCATGGGAGGTCCTTCCGTTACCAATTTCCAGCGGCAGCTTTCAGCTTCAGTTGTTGAACAAAAGCAGGTGGGCAGCAACACATCAGCAGCTTGGTTGTTATCTCAGGTAACCAGTAACAGTAGGTAAGCATTAGTTCACTTTTAATAGGGAGTCATGATCATGTTTGTGATGGTGTACTAATTTGGATTCAAACATTCGAGCCAATAGCTTGCACATTAATATACAATTGTTTCATTATACTCAGAGTGTAGATATTGATACGGAGATTATGGTTATTGCAGGGCTCCAAAATACAATTGTTTAACAGGTCCACCACAACAGCATTAGTAAGTGCCTCTCTAGGCTCCAGCTCAGTTCTTATTTATGTCATCTTTTATTTTGCGAGCCATATGTTTATTTCTCCTACATATTTCCGGTGTGTGCAGATCAGAGAGTTTATGATTAAGTGGATGGATCCTTTATGTTTCTACTGATTTTTTAACTTTGTTGATTATTTAGTCTAGTTCTTGCAAATAAGAGGTGTACAGTGGCTGTTCAGTTTAGTTAATTAGGTTATATCTCAGGCACAAGGTGTATCTGCAATTGGATTAGTTATAAAATGCATTTGATAATTGGTTCAGTTTTGGTCTACAATTAAGCATCAAATTTAGAGAATAAATTTTAGTTTTATTTGGTACTTGAAGATGGCTATTGTTATAGCACATGTCACAATAGGACAGGACTTAGCTTTCCTTACTACTAGTCTGTGCGTAACTGCGTGAGACATAATTTTCTAGATACAGTCACATTTGTCTACAGACCATATGGATCCTTACTACTACTCTGTGGGTATATAAGTGGTGCTTCATGTGTAGTGAGGATATGAATTAGTGCATAGTCTGTGAGTATATAAGTAGTATGAGCTAATTCTTGGTGAACTTTGTTTTTTTTACAGATATGCACACATCGGCCCACGCAGATTTGCACTGGACCTACATAATTGGGTGAGCATCTCTTTTTATTTGGTATTGTACTCTAGTTAAGTCAGAGATCCGATTGCTTCTGAGAGTTTGTTACTTTAGAGAACAGATTTTAGTTTTATTTGGTACTTACAGATGGCTATGATACTTATATGATACATTTTCTTACCAATCACCAATGGTCTGATTGAGTCAAGCATTCAGAACTGTATGAAACAGGCATAGAAATAATTTCCTAGATACATGGACCGTCACAGTTATCTACAGACCACACTGCTTCCTCCATTTTGCTATGGTATAAGATTGTCTTAGTACATGAACACTCTTGAAGGGGATATGGCTGTCAATAGATCATTAAGTGGATTATCAATCTAATATATGATAGTTGCATTTCATCCACATGGTGGTTATATGTGGCAGGGGTTTACAGTTTTTGGCACTATCTTGCTTGATCTCCTGAGCGGAAAGCACATTCCATTAAGTCATGTTAAATTTTCCTACTCTATGTGTGCTTTTAACATATTCTACAATAATAATGGAAATAAATAAATTTTGCACTAACCTTTTGTCTCCATTATTTAGTTCTTTGTGTGTGGATATTTAGTTTAACTAGTTTTTGCCGTTGGTCTATTTTTCAACCTGTAAAATTCCAATTACTAAAACCATGTGACACATAAATAGCTGGGGTTGTCATGAATGGTAACTATCATATTATAGTGTTCTGCACAGCCCTTTAATCAGCTAGTGATTGCTTCCTTCTTCCTTACATGCTCAATGTTGCTCTTACTGAGCACCAAAACTTCTGAATCACAATCATAGTTGGGCTGTCATAGCGATAATACTGCTGAAGGTGCTATTTTCATATTCATTGACGGTAGGTTACATACTAGGAAGTATATTTGCCACTGGAGATCATCCACTATGTATATTTACATACTAGGTTACAATTATGACTTGTGATGATGTTCTAAATAATGGTCTTGTGTTTGTGGATGTATATATGTATATTTGTGGCTGTCAGATTTGAATTTGAATTATATATATATATATGGTCAGATTTGAATTTGAATTTTTTTTTTGCTGGAAAATCCACTGTAGGGGCGGTTCTTGATTGAACCGCCCTTACAAATACACACAACAGGGGCGGCTGGTGATACAACCGCCCTTACAGAAGTCCACTACAGGGGCGGCTGATATTACCAGCCACCCCTACAGAGGTCACTGTAGAGGCGGCTGAAAACACCAGCCGCTCCTATAGAGGGCACTGCAGGGGCGGTCAGAAAACCGCCCCTACAGAACCACCCTCTGTATGAACACCCTGGGAAGGTTGGCTAGCGCAGCCGCTCCTACATATGCTCTAGAGCCGCTCCTACGGTAACATTCTGTAGTAGTGCGACACCCTGGCAGGTGGCAGCGTGCAGAGAATGCAAGCGTCTCCCTCACAGTCATCTCTCCTATGTGGAGGTCATGCTGGCTTATGTACGCGACTGTCCTCTCTGGAACAAACTGTGTCATCTCGTGACCATTATAGGTCACTTCGCCTGAAAACTGCACGGTGTTTCGCCGTAGCATTAGGCACTGGACATCGGCTGTCTGGCTGACTGGGCTGGTGCTGGCGGGCCCACTCACGCGGAACAGTGTCTGGCTGGGCACGGTGTTTTATATGAACAGTGTCTTTTAGATATAACAGTATTTTTCTCTCACAACAATCCAGCCGGAACAGTATTTTAGCTTATTCAGCCAGTCAGCCGAACAGTATTTTGGCTTATTCATTAGATAGAGTAATTCGTACAATGCATGCAGCAGTTGCCTATGAAAGATGCCCTGTTTCTTGAATGCCCAGTTTTGTGCAGAAGTTCACAACAAACTAAAATAGATGTCACAAAACGCAATGAACGAGATAATGCAGACTGGTTTTTGCGAGGTGTAATTTTTTTAAAAGAATTTACAAGGTGCGATTATTGCAAAGAAGTATAAGGATATATTTTGTACTACCTTGAGGTCTTTGTCAAGCCTTCCAGCCAAGGCGGGCAACAAAGTGGTCTTGCCTGATCCAGGCGGACCTAACAGAAGTGTCATCCTGCGTATATAAACGTAAAGAACGTAAGGTTGACTGGTGGAAGAAGCCAAGAAATCGAATCCTTGTAGTCCCAGACTATTAGTAACTCTCTCTCTTTAGGCTTTTTTTTATGCGCATATATTCATCTCAATTCACATGTGTTAAAATGGATTAGGGTGGAATTGAACTAAATTCCATTCCACTACAGTACATGTGGATTGAAGTGGATATATGTGCATCTAAACAAGGCCTAGATGCGCATGTATTCGTCTCAATCCACATGTGTTGAAGTTGATTGGAGTGAAATTAAACTAAATTTCATTCTATTCCACTCCAACACATGTGGATTGAAGTAGATACACATGCATCAATCAAACCTTGAGGAGATTACTAATCGAGTCACAACACAAGCCAAACCAACAGGAATATATAACTCATATAAAGAATTACTCTTGTTGTAAAAAAATACAACTCATCGACTCTGTAGATGGAAAATAGTTTGAATTTCTGGATGACAAAAAAACAATAAAAGAGTGATTGTTTTACTCAACTACCTGCGAGGCTTGATGATTCCGCGCTGACGGCGTGGAGGATGGGCATGATCCGCTTCCTACTGGCAGTATGGGCGTGTTTGATTGAAACCTGGGTAGAAGATGCCTGACATGTAGCGTGACTGGATGCTGTCTGTGCGGTATTTGGATGCAGCCCTAGTGAGCTGTCTGTCCCAGGCATCAGCCCCCAGGCTCAGACGCACGAAAACAGTCGCCTGGGGTGCACCTGCTGGCTTGCCTGGACTAATCACTCGTCTAATCACTTGTTGCCTTATTTACTGCTATTCTTTGTATTGTACACAAAATTCCACGAAAAAAAACGTATACCAATAAACCTGAACTAATTAGAAGTCCATATTACGTTTTTCTTTCCGGTTCTGTACCAATAAACATGCACTAACATCATACATACAGTGTAATTATAATTATCTTTGTTTCTCGTACATCTTTCCTTGTGACATTTTTTAAATAGCTAGGAAAACTATTAAATTTATTTGTAATTTCAAATATATTGTTAATTGATAAAATATGTGGATGGTTTTATTTATTTATTGTATGTACATTCTAACCGTAACTATGTATGTTTTAAAATGGTATTATATCTTTTATTAGCATTCTATGCACAGGCTTTTAACCAAACGTAACATTGTCTATCTTGCCGACAGATTCCATTAAATTTCCAGGCAACATTTTTTATCAGGCAAGTACTCTAGACTTCCAGGCCCTATGTGCAGCGCGTTCGCCGCTTCCTGCGTCGAACAAAGACTCAAAGAGGCGCACCGACCAAAGTTCAAAATATCGTCTTTCGCTATCGGATAGACAGGAACTAACGGGTGCAATGGCTGGGTTACGTACCTCGATCGTGTTGACAACAGAGTTGAGGACGGTGGGGAGGCCGCTGCTACCGACGCCGCGCACCTCAGCCTCCGCCTCAAGGTTCTGGAACCGCACCTCGATCGTGGGCATGTCGATCTCGACCCTGCAGCAATCAAACAGCGCGCGCGCGGAAATCGTCAAACACCCGGCGAGCGATAGGAATTCGAGTGCAACCGCGCGCAGCTCGTCGCGGAGCGGGCGAGTAGGTACCTGTCGACGCGGTCCTTGAGCTTGAGCAGGAACCGCTCGTTGTCCTCGTCGGCGACGCGGACGAGGCGCTCCAGCAGCGCCCGCCTCTCGCGCGGGCCGAGGCTGAGCACGTCGACGTCCACGAGCCTCTTCCCGCCGGCCGCCTCGGCGCCGTCGGCCCCGAGGTCGAGCGGGACGATGGCGCGGCGGACGAGGTCGTAGGTGGGCAGCTTCTCCAGCGCGGCCCAGTGGAGCGCCTCCTCGTCGTCCTCCTCCCTGGACGAGCGTGAGGATACGTCGTCACCACGCCGCCATGCACATGGAGCCGCTATCCCCTAGCCGCATACTCGCCACCTTCTGAATGTCCCCCGCCGCGTCCATCTCGCTATCCCTCCTCTCTCCCCCTGCTGCTGCCGCCGCCTCCTGCTCCCCCTACCAATCCGCACCCCGCACCACAACGCCGAGCTGCCACCGGGTTACCAATGAGATTTCGGTGTGTTTTTTTTGGGTGCGTGCGTGCGCTTGCTCAGCTACGGTGGGAGAGCACTCCAGGAAGTCAGGTGCGGGTGGGTTTTTTTTTTAAACAGAAATGTTATATAACGCATATGTATTTTAGAAAATATATATATATATATATTTTTTATCTCTTTGCCGCTCTCTTTCTCATATATATATATATATATAAAAGGTCAGACGTCACGTGTCAGTCTCACGGCCATCAACCGGTCGCCGTCGTCCTGTCACGGGCAGCCAGTGCGGTGCCGAAGACAGCTACCACTCCAACTGAGATGACAGCATGGTCGACCTCACGTGTCACGGGCTCACGGCCATCAACCGGTCGCCGTCGTGTCACGGCCAGAAATCCAGTGCGGTGCCAACGAGTCAAACAGACGACACTCCAGACGTTGGATGCGACTCCTCTTGAGATGTTGTTGACACAAAATGTGATGCACTGTGCCTCACACACAGCAAGCCGAAAAGCGTAGCTTCAATCGGGTTCCCGGGTGCTTCGTTATCCGGAAGCGTGCCAGTCAGTTTGACCTGAAAAAAACTAACAAGGGACAAAACAATTAAATGTCAAACCGGAACATGTCGGGTAATACCAGACAGTTCCACATATACGGCCCTGAAGCCACTTACAACGACATACAGCTATAGAGAGCTGTCTGCCAATGAGTTCATAAACCGTTCAGCTAATAGTAAGATGAATGCACGTGGAGACCTGATTGCCGAATATACGTGCATGGGAAGACATGTTTGAACAAGTGAAATTAATTATGAGTTAATGCATAACCAAGCTCGGCAGTTCAGCCGAATTGGGGTCCATGAAGAAGGAACGTGCAAATAAAAAAACGATTAAACTAATCTAAAACCTGCATCTGCCGCACGACACCTGGTTTTGTTAAAGTTTAAACATGATTAACATGCATGAACCCGCGACATGTGACAATCTAGATTAAAATAATTCAGCCATTATATGCACACTATCTGATTGCAAAGGTATTATGAAAAGCAATGATCGTTGAAGCACGAATAAAACCACAAGAGAGAAAAAGGCCGAACAATATCAAATCTAGATTGGGCAGAAGTATGTTACAAATATATATAAAATATTCCGTAACATGCAACACTGGATAACTTAATGAATCTATTTAGATTTGCCATATCTAAAAGAGCCGATAACTATCTTGCTTTCACTAAGCATATTGAGCAAACGCCTGCCGCACGGTATCTACTCATAAACAAAGCATAAGCAAAGACTTCTTGATTGTCAAACAAAGATCCGCCGCACGACCATTGAAAACAAACAAGACTACTTGCATCACGTCTAAATCCACCGCATGATACTAAACATGATAACAAGGTTGTCGGAACTTACGGAGGTCGACGGATCGATGACTCCTCTCGAAGAACTCGACGACACGACAAAAGGACTCGAAAGTTGGCACGGGGCCGGTTGTATTGATTTGGTTGTGAACCCCTATTACAATGGTCGAGGGTCAATATTTATACCCTAGACAAAACACGAGTCCTAGAGGACTACGATTTACAAAGGAACCTTTAAATAAACTTGGAAACTCACGATTCCTTACCCTAAACTTTTAGAGTCCTTTACTATTACAACTTTCACCTTTTCGATCGGTCTTGCCTGCCATCTTCTGTTTTTTCCCGAATGGAATCACCGCCTTCTGGAGTAACCGACCGCAATGCATTTAGCCGACCGCTTGCTTTGTTTGCCGAATACCCTTCTTCCCGCATGTGGGTCTACCTGTCATCTTCCAGAATCGACCAAAATCCAGTGTTAACACATGCCCCCTCAATTTCGGGATAAAAGTTGTTTTATTCTGAAATTGACCACAAGCTCTTTCATTCTCCTAGGTCATCACCGTTCAAAACCGCAGCCGCTGCCCAAAAATTCAAGCTTTCAGCGCAACCTCGGACCTCCTTCAAATCTTCAATGGCGACCCAGGATGAAATCCCAGAGGTAAACTTTACTTATATTCGGCAATTTTCATTTTATCCTCCCGCTCCTTTTTTGATTTACTCCCCTTTGATTTCAATCATCTTCTAAAGGAATACAAGAGCCAGATTTTGATCCCCTATGCTGCCAACCCCGACTCCTATTTCCTCGGCCCAATGGGAAATCCTGACCCTTCTGAAATTATTGAGAAGGAAACCCAAAGAATTCCTTTCAAGTCTGGGATTACCTCGCCAAACCGATGGCCAAACACGTTCAAGAATTGGCCATTTCCCCCAATCACCGGATGGCGTAACTGGTATAGGAGAATGCTGGAGAAAAGCAGCAGCCACTGGGAAAGTCAGGACATCAGTCATTGTCTAGAATTATCTTTAGCAGAAACACCCAGGAATGATTCCCTTTTGATAGCAGCTTCTCATTTTTGGTCTGACACTATCAATGCCTTTATCTTTGGTCATGGTATTATGACCATCACTCTAGCCGACGTATTCATGATGACTGGCTTGAATGTGTCATTGCCAGTATATCCCTATAAGTACAAGAGCAAAAGTAATCAAAGAGCCGTCAGTTCTAGATGTGGATGGGTCAAACATATTCAGAACTACATGAATGCATCTGGCACCGTCTCTGACAAAGAGTTGAAAGCCTTCATGAATATGTGGCTATGCAGATTCATCTTCTGTGGAAAATCCAATGAACCAACCCTGAATCACATGGTAATGGTTGAAGACTTAGCTGCAGGCACTCAGATCCCACTAGGTAAATATCTCTTAGGGTTTGTTTATCATATGATGCATCAGATTACTCTTCAGATGCGCCAAGGTGGAGAAATCTCTTGTGTGAATGGTCCCTGGTGGCTAATTCAAATGTGGCTTCAGCTATATATGCATCAGATAACCTCTGTGAGCCTCTTCAATCTAAGTTTCCCTTCAGTCAACTATGCTGAAGGCAACACAGCAAAGGTCAAGGCATGTCAGACTTATGGGGAAGCAGCATCATCCATAAGCATTGACATAGACATCGGTCATTTCTTCAAGCTATTTTTCAAAGGATTCGGCAATGTGCTCTGGTTTCCTTACAGAGAAAATGAAAATTTGACTTTGCCCTGCAAGTTTAGCTATGAAATTGGTTGTTCAGGCCAAGAATCCACGGAGATTTTCAACTCCTTTATCAAGCCTTGCACTCTGCCAGCCGAATTTCATCATGGGAGACTAGTACAATCTACCTATGAATTTTATTAACCAAACATGGTGGCCAGACAATTAGGATGCGGCCAACTGCCTCCAAAATTCCTCTTCTCAACAATCATAAAGTCAAGGGAATTAATAACAGAAGGAATGGAGGCCAAGAAGGTCTTTGAATTAGGATGGGAATTGCCAATATACGAACCATCTTCATTTGGGCTAATAGATGTTGCTCATCCCTTCTTTGTTTCTTGGTGGCAAGAATGGCATGCTCATATCTTCAATATATCAGTTCATTCTCTATGCAAAAACTTGCAACCCGATTTTGCTTCTGACAGTGAGGTAATTTCATTATGCCCATCATTTCTTGTTCTTGAATCCACTTCTTACTTTAACATCTGGTCATGCACAGGATCTTGAGTTTACCCCTCCAGCCAAAGCAATCCAGTACTATTCGGCTGGTCCCAAGCCTGCTCTGGGGTTTGATGCTCCAAACTTAAAGGAATTCATGAAAACTTCTGCAACTTTGGATTCAGCACCTCTAAAGGCACTCATGAGAACTCCTGCTACTTCAGCTGCTGCACCTTCGAGAGGAAAAAGCAAAAGGAAAACACCTGAAAAGTTTTCTCTTACCCAAAAAACCAAGGACCAAGAAAGCCAGATTATCCCTTAAGGCATGAATCTTTTATTTTCTTATCGGTCAACAATCTCACTTAGCGATGTTTCGACCACCTCTATATTCATTACTTCTATTGCAGCCACAAGTCAAAACTCCCACACTTTGGGCAATACCTCAAAGCACTGCTGAGAACCAACCCCTGAAGTTTCTCACGAAGATGAAGAAATTCATGATAGCGAAATTTCGAGACTCATGAAGTTGAAGGTTCAAAGGCTCATAAACTGATGAGACTATAGGTAACATTGTTCAACCAATTCTCTTTTTCTTTCTTTTAAATAACATCTATTCTCCTATGCTCATTATCATTTACTTCACTTTGAAAATAGATGAAATCTTAGATGAACCGGCAAGGAAACCTCTTCTGATCAAGCTCCAAACCTGTCCCTCTCAATCTTGACCAAGTTCCCAATGAGGCGGTATAACCCATCCAGATGATCAACCAATTTCAATGAGTAATTCCTTGTTTTACACTATATTTTATCAAAATTACCCAACCGCTAACACTTTCTTTCTTCTCTTTTCTTTAGAAGAACATCACTAAACCGACCACCGATTATCTTTCTCTATTGAGGATTACATCATTGAGAAAGGTGAAGAGATTACTTCCCATCAAACCTTATCATTTGGAAAATCGGCCCGGCTAAAAGAGGTGATCATTCTGCTAAACAAGGATACCATCAGTCTGGTTCAGGATGCAGACCGGATAAAAGACCTCCTTGAACTCATTGATCAAGATATCCCCTCTGCTCTCAAGGCTCCCCTAGAATCTGCAGCCCATCTTGATGACCATTTTGCTATGGTGAGAAGGGCAATCAAAAATACATCTTGAGGACCGCCTGCGAGAAGGATAGATCTTTGAAAAAGCTGGAGATTAAAGATCTTCACTCTCACATCCAGACTACGAGAAATTCCTTGGCAACCTTGGAGCTGGAATCTGAAAGCCATGGAGGATGAAAAAAGCGGACTAGAAGCTCAACTAGCTGAATGAATGCCAAAATTCAGTCTCACACAGGCCCATATAATTAATTTGCGAAGAACA